ACTCCCCAGATTTATCCTCATTGCTACGTTGAAAGGGTATGTTCATTTGGGAAGGGAAGGTCACTGAAATTTGTCATTTGGGTTTTGCTTATTACAAAAGCAGGCTTCCTAAGGACAGAGGTGACATATGATGCCTCTGAAAGCATAAAAACTTGTACTCACCCTGACTTTCTGTGCTAAGCCAGGGAAAGCAATGTTTTTGGGGGGTAAGGGGTTTTCAAGACAGGGTTTCTCTGTAGGTTTGGGGCCTGTCCTGGAACTAGCTCTTGTAGACCAGGCCTCCTTGACCTCAGAGATTCACCTGCCTCTGCCTCTTGAGTGCTGAGATTAAAGGCATGGACCACTACTGCCCAGCAGAAAGCAGTATTCTTTTGGAGAAAACTATTTTTTTAAAAGAACATTTTTTTTAATGAAAAGTAAGTTTGTCATCTTTGCTCTCTAGGTTTCTATTGAATGTAATGGTTTTATTTTGATCTAGCAGGAGGTGCAGTGCCAGGGTCTTAATCTTTATTAATAAAGATGACAGCTGTTCTGGGGTTTAGAATTAGTATTGCTGCAGTTATTGGATACAGAACTTCTGTCTACATAAACTTATTGCTTCTGTTCAGGGAGATTATTGTGACACTCAAAGACCTTACTGGGAATGATTTTACTACTGCAGAAATGTTAATGATGTCTTAAAACTGATATACACTTGGTATCTTGTTGCTCTAGAACTTTTTTTTTTATTTCAATAGGTCTTCGCACAAACAGAAGCACAGAGAGGAGCATATATAGAATTAGCACTCCAAACTTACCAAGAAATAGTCATCGGCCATTCTGCAGCATCCTGAGAACAATTAAAAATACTGTAATTTTTTCTGCCTTTTAAAGTCTGAAAAGTTTGTTGCCCTACTCAATTTCTGCACAACATGGGGATAAAATGAAGTGTGTATTTGAATGCCTGGTTATGAACTTCTCTAATCACATCAATGCAGGTAAAACAAAAACTACTTCCAGAGTACCAAAGTGTTGACAGCCCAGCTGGACAGGTCAGGAGGTATGCCCACAGCCAAACTATAATGCCTGAGATTGTGATACAAGATCAGAAGGAAGGTTGGAAAAATGCCCCTCGCTATTCAAAGAAAGAAGGATGAAGCTGATTCCCAGTGAGATATTTGGCTCAGCTATCTAAAATTTAAAAACCCGATATCCATTTTCATTAGGAAGGAAACTCAGGAATTTTTCATTAGTTCAAAAGATTTATGAGAGATGGTCTAATGACAGACAGTATGAAAAAAAAAAGTGCACATCTGCTTCAGTTAACAAGGAGAACAGTAACTTAAATGCTGCCCATCAACTCCTCTGAAGATGAGGAAAAGGCAATGTTCCCCCTGTTTACATATGCAAATCAAGGAGTTTCCGTAGTTCTTGGTCAGGCTGGTGATCAATTTGTATTTGTCTTGATCTCTTATTGAAGTAAATGGCAAACTGTTCAATCATCCAGAATATCTTCATCCAGATTGATGTCTGTTGTGTCAATATCTTCTAATTCCAAATTATCCAAATCGACTGACTGTAAGTCGATTTCTAGTATGTTCTGCAAGGAAAGGGAGATGGCAGATGTTACACAGTGCTGTACTAAGTTACCTGGTTCACAGTCCAAAGCCAGAGTCTACCATTAATATTGACAAGAGCATCGTCCCACTTGAAGCCTCTTTGAAATATGATACCAAAGACATCTAAAAGCCTGCCCTCCTGATTGAGGGTGGAGGATGTCTGACCCACCTTTTCTTCTTTCTGGGTAGGTTGGGAGGCCATGATAACTGGGCTAGAAGCAGGTTTCCCATCAGATTCCTAAAAACTCAAAAAGAGGTAAATATGAAGCCAAAGGAACTTGCCAAGAGATTTAAATCAACAATGTTAATCATGTTGTCACATGTTCTATACGAACCTGCTGAGCTGTGGCTCTCGAGGGCTGAAAGCCTTTTGCCTCTTCCATGACATTTCTCTCTTCATTTGGCTATCAAAATAAAACAATGATAAAATAAAATACTCTGAAATCAGAAATAATCTCAACACTTGGCCCAAATCCTAGTCATTAGCTCTTAAACCATTTGAAGTTAGGCTGTGATGTCTCCTCCTTGCAGTCACACTAAAGAAGCTGGCGCTCTGCCACTCACCGTGACAAGAGGGTACTGCTTGGCTGGCCACAAATCCACATGTGTCTCTTTGACCCACTCTTCAACAACAAACGCTTCTTTTAATCCAGGAAAAAGGTTTTCATACTCTGTGGGGTCAGCAAGGGACTCTGCTGCTTTCTGGTTGACTTTTGAGAGGTTCTCCCTCCACAGCTTCACCACCCTAATATTAGAGACATCAGAGAACCAAAGATGAAGCTATTGGGCCCTGTTTTCAGCTGAAACATTTCTCCCTAAACTAAGTGCATACCTTGAGACCTGGCTGGGTAAGTAAGTGCGGGCCAGGAAGGCAGCTTCTGGGAGTCTTCCTGTTCTGATCAAGAGCTCTAGGCAAGCATCAAGCCTACAGAGGAAAGCAGAGGAATTGTTAGAGAATAGCACATAGAGCTTAAAGTATAAACCTGTTGCAGAAGAAGAATGCCCCCACCCCTTACACATTCACTTCTGTTGCCAGCCTTAAAATTGTCTTAATGTTGAACAAAACCAGGGGTGTAAGGGATAAGACAGCGTCCATGGCAGCACTTAGCTTATTTAGCTTGAATAACTAAGAATATAATGGGACTTCTCAAGGAGGGTTATGGCAAGCTTGTTATGCACTCTGAGTTTTATACCTGGAAGTGTAGCATGTCATAGTATAGCGGTAATACAGTTCAGAGAAAAATGTTTGATGACTGAGTCTAGGATTTTTTAAGAATTGGCATGTACAGCAAGGGCAATAAATACTTCCTTTCCAAAAGGCAGACTGATGTTCACATGACTTGGCTTGCATTAACTCTGCTATACCTAGAAATTCATGACATCTGCAAATAACATTTTCATCCCTCATCCTTATACAAAACAAACCAAAAATGGCACAGTGTAGATAGTCCTCTGCCATTAGTCCTCTTGGAAGAGAACAGCTGTCTCCTGCTACCATTCGGAAAAATGGTCTAGGAGTAAGTAACTGGTAGACTCTTTAACCCTGAACAGCTCATGCAACTACGGTAGGTAACACTATTCTCTGGCTGCCCCCATTACTCAACAACACTCAGCCATCCATCAGCTCTTTGCCAGGATTTGTGTTTTATATTCCTCTCAAACACTGCTATCCTCACAGTCAGTGTAGAAGTAACTGTCTACAACTCCTTAAAGTCTTTTAGACCTTGAGATATAATACTTACTTGCCCTGTAAAAAGTAGCTCATGAATGCCACATTATTTTTGCCATCTCTCTCCGCGCCTTCTGCTAACTTGTTTACCATATTGGCATTTCCAGAGGCAGTGGCCAAGAGCAGCAGACCCCCATAATCCTGGGCATGGTGCAGACACTCCTGGGCTAGGCTAAACTGACATTTACTAATGGCGAGTTCAGCAAGTTGTTTCCACTTCTGCTCCGACTATAAGAGATTAAGATAAAACATCTTTGGAAATAAACATTTAAACTAACAATATCAGTATTATTCTGTTACTTCGAACATTGCTGTGATGACATTTGAAGACAGACACACATTATATAATTTTTGAGTTACGTTTGGTAAATGGGCCCTGTCAGTCAACCAAAGACATGATAAAAACGTGTAATGAAAGGAAAATCACATGAACAAAATTCAAATGGTACATGGATAATTAACTCATTTTTATGTTTAATTACATAGAGAAACTGAATCTAAGCCATATAAATGGAATTTAAACATTAGACTGCAATTATTTTAACAAATCAGTAATACTCTTTTAGGAAGAGTAGAAAATTAATGTCCTTAAATATTGAGTAATGAATATGGCCATTTGTAGCTTCCGAGAAATCAAATAAAATACACATTTAAATGCTCTTGACAGCTACAATTTTTTGTACAATAATAATTTACTTGTAAATGCTGTACTTAACCTATAATTATCAGTACATAGTATATACAAAGATCTACAGAATGTCAGAATTCTTTGAAATCAGTGCCTCTCACAAGTTTGTAATACAGCAAATTGTTGACATGTTTATATTCTGAGAGCCAGGCTAGACAGGAAAAAACTTCTCAAGCAGATTATACAACTAACAGTATGGTAAGTTTAACCCATTTAATTTATGCAAAGGCTATCAAAGCATTTTTGAAAAAGATCAAAGAGACAACAGCTTCACCACAATGAGTCACTAATTCCTTGAAGACCATTAGTTAGAAAATGTTTCAGCAAAAACATATAAGTACCTACTAACCCTCCTGGAGTTATGGGAAGTCATGGATTAGAACATACCTCTGCTTCCACTGCTAGTTGGTAAGCAATTTTCAGCTCTCCAAGTTGAAGAGCAAGCTCAAAACGATGTTCAGGATCTGTGGATACTGTAAGTGCTTGCTGCTTGAAGCCCTACACATTTTTAAAAAGAAAATGTGTGATTTACAAAGAATGTGCACATAGAGTACACAGACAACAAACTATTTCTCAAAAGACCTTACTGACAGGAAACCATAGCCCACAGTGGACCAAATGGAATTTAACTCCAAGTTATTTGACATCCATTAGCAGTCAAGAAGATAGTACCAACAGTGCAAATCAGGAGCCATTTTTGGCATATGAAATTTTACACATTCCTATTTTTTGTGCTTTTATTTCTAAAATGAAAACTTTACACAGTTGTATATTTACATCTTTAAGATCATCCTGTGACAAGGATGCTATAGGAATAAATACTTCAACTTAAAAGGTTTCTGGGAGAGCTGGGTGTGGGTCAGAACTAAAGAATTGATGTTATTCATATATTTTAATAAGTTCTAATTAAATACAAGCTAAATAAAATTTTAGTGACTACATCAGGTGTTCAGGGGGCACATGGTTCAGGTAAATGCAGCTGCTGGTAACCTCAAAAGTGGGCCTCAGAGGTCATCCAGTTCAGGTTTCATTTTATAAAGGTTAATGACAGAAACAGGAAGAGAAAGGCAGGTCAAGAGCAAAACCTTTCAATTTTCTATCATCTGAAGGTCATCTAGCAGCTGGGGTATAGGCAGTGATGAGCTGTCATAGTTATGCTTTATTTGGTCTCAGATTCAGCCTATCAAGTGTCCAAAGGAAGAAAGCCAAAGGTCTCCTCATGCTCTAATAAGCCACCAGGACAGGATTTTACAACAAATGTTGTAATTACAAAGTTAACTTCTGTAAGACAGAACCACTGAGGGCAAGTTTTTAGCTCTGGGAATGTAGCAGTGTCAGAGGAAATAGGGTGCTTTACTTCTCAGCGTACTGGAGGAAAAAGCCTAGTATGGAGTGGTCAGAACAGAAGCCAGACAACTTTCAGAGTTCAATCTGGACACATCAGGATGGCTTTATGTTGCTGGATATGCACCACTCCACTTCCCCACCTACCCGCTGGTGCAGTGTAAATACTGGTTCAAAATAATCCCAAGTTAGCGCTTATCTTCACTAGCACTGACACAAGAGAAAACCCCAGACACACAGGTCTGTTCTA